AATACATGCATACGCACAAAAAAATAAAAAATAAATAAAAAATAAAAAAATAAAAAAAAGAGACTGGGTCAGGGGCTAGATAGTTCAGCAGTTAAGACCCAGATTAAGTTCCTTGCACCAATACGGAAGCTAACAACCATTCACCTCCAGTTCCAAATGATCTAATGCCCTTTTCTGGCCCCCAAAGGTACAGCATATTACATGCACATGGTGCACTTCCATATATGCAGGCAAAATACTCATACATATTAAATTAAAATAAGAAACTTGAGGAAATAGTTAGGGGTGTGTGGTAGGTCAGAGGCCAAAGGGTAGGCCAGAGGGGTTGAAGGTCAGTGCTTGGTCTAATAGCTGGAGGACAGAGGGCAGAAAGCAGAGGTGGGAACAGGTGGAGAGGAAGGAGGAAGAACAACAACGGAGGGGGTGAAATGCAAGTTCTATCCTTACCTGGGCTGGAAGTGGGAGAGTCCAAGGACCGGGATTCACTGCCACCACCCACACTGTCCACATCACTGCCTGGAGTGGGGCCTGGAATCCATAGGTGGGGACAAGGTCAATTAGGCTGGCCCAAGCCTCAGCCCTACACCCGCCAGGGTTCACTGTACTTACCATGGCTGCCTAAGCTGGCATCCTCCCAAGGACAGGGCTCAGAGCAACCTTCCTCCATCCTTGGAGCTGGGGGCCCAGAGAGCTTCTTTTTTATGTCCAGAGGGGAACTGAAAGGAGAGGGGGGTTTGAGGGTCTTGATCCCCAGGGAAATGACCTAGGAGATGTCTGGCAGGCATGGCATCTGGATACCAACTCCAAGAACATGAGCCTGAAAGCTGTGGTGGCCAGGACCATCCTGGCCCATTGAAATGTTCTAGCCCCAATGTCCCCAGGGACTGTGACAACTCCCCATCAGAAGCCTCTCAGGATCCTGTAAGGAACCCTAAGGGAACACATTAGGTTACTAATAAAGGCACGAGGAGATAAGAGCATCCAATTTAGGTTCCCAACACCCACATGGTAAAAACCTTGGGGTAGACTTCTGGGATTATGCAAATCCCAGCCCTAGGGCCCACCTGTGCCCAGCAGGCGTGAACTCCTGGAAGCAGAAGGCAGGAGGTAGTGGCGGAGGGGCTTCTGGTTGCAGGCCCCGCACAAACTCCTGGTACCGCTGGCCCGGCTCAAAGGGCTCACAACATTCTGCCAGGGCGGAAAAGGCACGGGGTCCCCGCTCTGCCTGCGCTCTATGCAGCCCAAAGAGGGCGAGCGTCACCTGCAGGGAAGGAGAAGGTCTAAAGGGCGGGACCTGGGTGACCTGGGGCGGAGCAAGAGCGGGGTGGAGCCTACCTTTACCTATAACCAGGTCTGGATTCAGGGGTGGGCCTTGTCACTGATGGGCCGTCAGCTGGGGATGGGGATTTGGTTATGGGATGGGGCCTGAACACCCCCAGTGGAGATGGTAAGTCCTAGGGCCTCAGGGATGGCTCAGGGTGGAGAAGAGCGTTCACTGGTTCCCAAGTGCAATGAAGGGTGGCTAGGGGTGAGGACCTTACCCGTCTAAGCACTTCATCTCCCTGCAACACTAGCTTTCGCACATGCGACACGATCCTCCACTTGGTGGTCTCCAGGTCCTGTTGCCGCGCATTAGCCTCCCGAACGCAGGCCTGGTACAGCGCTTCGGCCTCTAGTGCCTGGGGAAATGGAGGCAGAGAAGGTTTGAGTTGGGGAAGAGTGGCCAAAGGCTAGGGGGTCTTGGTTCTGGGTCCCCACCTTGGCTTGGGCCTCCTCCCGGGAGCGCCTTCTCCGCTCTTGCTGTTTGCTGGGTCCGGGAGATGCCTGGGGAGGAAGGTCCTCAGGGGACCCCTGTAAACGTGCCCACAGGTCCTCACTGCGTTGAATGTACTGGAGCTGGGCCCGCCGCAGAGCCTGCACCGCCTCGTTCTGGGGAGCAAGAGGAGGGTGAGCCCTCAGCCTACAGAGGCCTAGCACTCCTTGGCTCTCCTCCCTACCCACTTGGAGCCTCACCATGCGCTTCTGCTCTTTCAGCCACTGCTCCTTGAATTCTTTCCTCCATTTCTCAATCTCCATCCGTTTGGCAGCCAGGGGCTGGGGGATAGAGGATGGGGCAGAGAAGGCAGAGGTCAGGACCACTAGGAGGCAACACCCACCTGTTGCTTCCTGCCCTCCCCCCTTACCAGGGCTCTACCCCTGGACTCCACCTCCCATTTCCCAAGGCCTAAACTCTTTCCTGAATCTGTCTTTTCAACCAGGCCTGCTTTATCCTAGGCATATGTACATGAGCAGAACTTAGTTACCTAGATGGCCTGAAGTTTTATTATTTGGGATCACAGCCCTCACACCTCTGTTGGTATTTCTTTTTAAATAAAGAATTTTAAAATAAGGGTTTTAATAATTATTTTTAATTATGTGTGTATGTGTCTGTGCTTCTGAGTGCAGTGCCGCTCAGAAGCCAGGATCATCAGATTCCTCAGGAGCTGATTACAGGAGGTTGTGGGCCACCCAGTGTGGGTGCTGGGTAAAAGGAGACTCCTATAGACTTCAAGACACAAAGCAGTTCTTGCTCTGCAAACAAGTCTGTCTGGGACCTCTATAAACCCCAACCATAAAGCTGTTTCTGCTCCAAAAACAAACCTTGCTCTGCAAATTAGTCCTTCCTTATGGGAAAAATACTGGCCTTAAATCTTTACCCAACTCCCCTGCTGCTTGGCTGTGTGGGGGGGTGGCTACTGCTGACTCCCACTGCTCAGTGGTCACACCTCTTTGATTAACAAAGGCTAATTTGGATTATTGAGGTTCGTTGCTTTCTTTTTCTTTTCTTTTTCTACCTGTGCCTCTTTCTAACTCTTATTCCTAACATTTTTGGTCGCAAAATCCAGGAGAGAATTCTCAGCTTAAAACATCTATTCCTGAGGCCGGAGAGATGGCTCACTGCTTAAGAACACTTGCTATTCTTCCGGAAGACCCGGTTTTGATACCCAGCACCCACTCCAGTTCCAGGGGATCCGACATCCTCTTCTGGCCTCTGTGAAGCAATACATGCATGTAGTATACTTACATACATGCAGGCAAAACACTAATAGACATAAAAATAAAATTAAAAAAAAAAAACCCTCCAGCCGGGCATGGTGGCACACGTCTGTAGTCCCAGCACTTGGGAGGCAGAGACAGACGGATCTCTGTGAGTTCAAGGCCAGCCTGGTCTACATAATGAGTTCCAGGACAGCTGGGGCTACAGGGAGACCCTGTCTCAAAAAGACAAAAAAAAAAACAAAAAAACCCTCCATAGCCGGGCGTGGTGGCACACGCCTGTAGTCCCAGCACTTGGGAGGCAGAGACAGACGGATCTCTGAGTTTAAGGCCAGCCTGATCTACATAGTAACTTCAGGCCAGTTGGGGCTATAGGGAGACAGTCTCAAAAAGACCAAAAAAAAAAAAAAAAAAAAACCCTCCTATTCCTAAGACTGGGAACCAAACTTAGGTCCTCTATAAGAGCAGTATGCACTCTTAACAGCTGAGCCATCTCTCCAGCCCCCCTTCTAAATTTTCTATTAAATTTTTATCTATTTATTGTGTATGTGTGTGTATGCTTATGTTTGGCATGTGTTTTGGGAGTCAGTTTTCTTTTTCCATTATGTAGGGTCCCAGAGATCAAACTCAGGTATCCGGCCTTGGTGGTAAGTACCTTTTACCTACTGAGCCATCTTGCTGGCCCACTATTTTATTTTTTTTGCTACAGGTGACTGAAACCAGGGCCTTGTACATGCTAGCTAGGCACTCTACCACTGAGTTATATCTCCAGCCCTGAAACCAGAATTTTTTTCAAAGTATACATATATGTGTGTGTGTGTTTTGGGTTTTTTTTGATGGTGGGGATTTGAGACAGTCTTGCTTAAGCAGCCCTGGCTGGTCTGGAACTCACTATGTAGACCAGGCTGGCCTCAAACTCACAGGGATCCACCTGCCTCTCCCTCCTAAGTGCTGGGATTAAAGGCGTGCACCACCATGCCCAGCCCTATTTATTTATTATTTGGGGGAGGACACACACGTGTGCATGGTGCTGCATGGTGATCAGAGGACAACATTATGGAGTTGGTTCTCTTCTTCCATCTTTATGTGAATCGAACTTGAGTCAGAGAGAGAGAGAGAGAGACGGAGAGAGAGAGACAGAGAGAGAGAGAGAGAGAGAGAGAGAGAGAGAGAGAGAGAGAGAGAGACCCTAGCTGGCCCAAACTCACTATGTAGATCAGGCTGGCCCTCACAGATTTCCACCTGCCTCTGCCTCTTGGATGCTGGAGTTAAAGGCATGCACCACCACACCAGGCTTGATATCAATATTTCTAAGTTGAAGAATTTAAAAGAAGATTGAGGGCTGGGGATGTAGCCCCACTGATACAGCACTTCCCTGGCATCCTCATGTCCCTCCTCTCAAATAATAAAAGCACCGGTTTTTTTTTTTGTTTTGCAATCTCATAGGAAGTCAGGTTGACTCTCTACAGAATAACCTTGGGTAAGTTCCTGAGCAGCTCTGGGCTTCAGTTTCCTCCTTAGTGAGACTGCAGTGGACTTCCTCCTGGGGGGGTCAGGGCAGCCTCACCTGGTAGTAGTCTCTCTTCTGCTGGGTCACTGTCTCCATGGCCAGGGCTCCCAGGTTAAGGTCATGCTCCAGAAATAAGGTGTAGATGTACTGGAGTGGCATTTGGCTCTGGGGTAGAATGAAAGACTGACTCAGGATCTGAGGAGACAGGATTGGAGGACCTAGGGAGGAGGTTGAGGTCTGGGGAGGGCTGGTCACAGTACCTGCTGGTGGATGGACACCTTGCCTGCCTCCGCGATCTTCATGATGTTTTTAGTGAACTCGAGCTCTAATGGTTAGAGGGAGAGACGAGAGGGTCTGCAGGCAGTTGGGTTTGTGTCCTGCCTGGAGTTAGGGGCTGGGCAGGAGGAGGCCTCACCATAGCTGGCTCTTTTGTCTGTCCAGGCCAGCAGCTCCTTGGCATAGCGGCTCCATGTCTTGGCATACTCCAGGGCGGCATCCACACCCCCTTTAGTCCTAATGAGTCGCAAGTCTAGTTCTTCCCCTGGGATAGACAAGTGAATCCCTGAACCTGCCTGCCCTTCTGTGGAAGCCTTCCTTGAATCCCCAGGCCAGACCAGCAGCTTCTGTTCTGTTTATGGCTCCCTAAAGCTCCTTTGGGATCACCGTCACCACTGTAATTTTATGGATTCTCTATTCAGGCTGGAGTAGCTTTCAGGTCAGGGGCATGGACCTACTGTGGGTCCTACTGTGTCCCCTACATCTGGCAAAGTATGGGGTCCAAGATGACTCCGTGAAGGAGTCCTCGTCCCCATCCTTGCCTCAAAATCCCAGACCCCACCACCTACCTGTGAGGGGTACAGGACCCTCTAGGGAGGGGTCATTCCAGCGGCTGGCTTCATTGGTCTGTGGGGAGAGACAGCATTCAGGAGCAAACAAGGAAAGACCTCTGCCTCACTGAGGTCCCTTTCCCTGTCCCCGACATCTCTACTCACCACGGAGGCTGTGGCAGCCTTGTCAGGTTCCAGGTCTTCTGTAAATATAATGTCTCCAGCCAGGGGCTCAAAGGTCCTGGGGCAGGGGAATAAGGGTGTCAGGAAGCCATTTCTACCCAGACTGTCCTGTGATGGGGAGGAGTCCTGAGGACAATACAACAGTTGAGGGGGAGGGAGGGGGTACAGCCTTTGATATTATATGTGATCTAGAAGGGGAGGTCTGAGGATTTGAGGGGAATCAGTTGAGGTAGTCTTTTGTTTTGTTGTTTGTTTGAGACAGGATCTTATGTATATGAAGCTGGCTTCCAACTCACTCTAATGGCCTGATTCTGCCTCCACTTCCCAAGTGCTGGGATTACCGTCATGTCCTACTATATCTGGTGCTGGGGATGGAATCCCTGGCTTTGTGTATGTCAGGCAAGCATTCTACCATTTTTCCTTTTGTGATGCAGGTGGGATTGAATGCTGGGTCTTGTGAATGCTATATACCTGCTCTACAACTCAGCCACGTCTCCATCCTCAGGTGAAATCATGTTTTCAAAAAACAAGATGAGAAAAAAACATAAAGGGCTTTAGGTAACTCAGGGGCTAGCAGAGTGGGATTTTAGCTATTTCAGTCATTTTAAGGGATCACAAAGATATGGGGGTGGGGTGGGGGGTGTCTCAGGATCAGGTTTGAGATAGACCCAAAACACCCGTGTATCCAAAACTTCCAAGGGCACAGGTGTTTGGGAGACTCCTATGTTAGACTCAGCAGATAGAAATCAGTGTCCAGATGTGAGGTGGCACTCAGGGCCTTGGGGATCCTGGCCAGATGTGGGTGACCCAGGCTCAGACTCACACGTTCCCCAGTGATATCTCGAGGTTGTCCAGACTCTGGAAGATGTCACTGTATCTCTTCCTGCTTTCCGGAGCTGGAGGGAGTCCTGGGGACGGGAAAGGGAAGTGTAAGAAAACATGGGCCAACCGATGCCTCCATCCACCCACGCAAGTGGCAGAGCAATCGGCACCTCAACCACTCTCAAGTAGAGGTGGGAGGATAACGAAGGACAGAAACAGAGACTCAGAGACCTGAATGAGTTCTGGTCCAAGACTAGTGTGGGATGGGACAGTGGGCTTCGGTGGAACCATCTCAGGCCAGACAGATGGACCCAGGCACAATCAGAGAGGCAGCGGCTCACAGTCGCAGACACCCACACAGGCGCGGGCCCAGAAGCAAAGCAAGAAAACAGACGCGCGGATGCAGCTGCCACAGTATCCCGGAGCAGAGGGCCGGCTTGACAATGGAGCCACATGGACCCCAAGGCAGACAGATGGGAACACACGTGGGACGGACAGGCACCCAGCCTGCGGCATAAACACACACGGGGACGGTTGAAACCACGAGGGACAGGACTGAATGACACTCGACATACAACAGAGACAAAAAGCCGGAAACACGAGCCGGATCTTGCCACACTTCTGCCGCCGCCCCCTGGCCTGACGCCCCTGGGATGCCCTGCGGGAATCCCGGCCGTGACACCCTGCCCCCATCCACAGCATAATCAGAAGCAGAAGCGGCCACTTCCCCTTCCTGGGCCCCCTCCCCCAGGCATCCGGGGTGACAGCTCCGCAGGGCGATTGAGGGGTCGGGAGGGGGGCTGGCGTCGTGCGCCCTGCGCGCTTCGAGGGTCTCCAAGGTGCGCGGAGTCCCTCGCGTCATTCCCTTGCCGGAATTCCGCTCCTGGCTGTCCAGTAGAGGGACAGGTGCGGCTCCCCGGTTTAGGTGAGGGGCGGTGGTGGGAGAGGTTCCTCGGTCCTCACACTCCTACCTGGCTCTGCGGCATCCATGGCGAGGCTGTGGGGGGGACACGGGGTGGGGGGCGGGCGCGGCTGAGCTAGGACTAGGACCAGGCTGCGCGCCGCCGGGGACCAGCTCTGATTTCCTGCCTCCGCCGCCTGGGTTCAGCGTCTCCCCGCCCACCAAAGCCCCGCCCCCAACACGGGCACGCCCCTCAATCCGGAAGCCGCAATCAAACTCCCACCCTGCCACCCGCGGCTATCGCTGGGTTGACCAGCCCGGAAAGGGGTCCCTTTTGTAGATTTTTGCGCCCACCCAAGGCCGGGGTACCACTCTCTCCCGTCCTGTAGTGCCTGCCCAGAACCTTCCTTGCTCAGAAACCCTGCCCAGAGGTCTTCTGTATCTGTGGCCGCCCTTGTGGAGAAATGATGTTCTGATGACTGCAGCAGCCTGAAGCCCGAAGTTCTGTGACCTTCAAAGCTGCCTCAGGCTTTTTTTCTTTCTTTTTTTCTAAAGAAAAATATTTTTATGGGGCTGGAGAGATGGCTCAGCGGTTAAGAGCACTGACTGCTCTTGCAAAGGACGCAGGTTCGATTCCCAGCACCCACGTGGCGGCTATGAACCGTCCTTAACTCCAGTTCCAGGGGAATCGGAAGCCCTCTTCTGACCTCCGCAGCATTGCACGACACGGGTGCACTCACATACATACAGGTGATACACTCATACACAGAAAATAAAAATATTAAATAAAATGTTTTAAAAATATTTTTATGTGTACAAGTGTAAAGAAGGCGTAGAATTCCCTCGAACTGGAGTTACAGACTGGTTATTAGCGGCCAGGTGGGTGCTGGGAATAGGGTGATTGCTGGAAACTGAACCTCGGTCCTCTGCAAGGACAGCCAGTGCTACCGAGCCATCTCTCCAGCCCCAGCTCTTTATTTCTCTTTAGTGGTCTTTTTGAGACCTGTAGCCTCAGTTGGCCTGGAACTTGCTATGTATAGCAGGCTGGCTTAATTGAGATCTGCCTGCTTCTGCTTCCCAAGGCTCTTGAGGCAGTTTCCTTGTAGTATGGCCAGTGTCCTTAGGAGTGGGTAAGAACACTGACCTCTCTGGTCACACTGTTACAAGTGAGTGATGGAGAGAACAAAGAGGTACAGAGGATAGAGTGTGAGTCCCCTTGGAGGAAAGGGGTGGGTTAGGGCCTTTGAGGCACCACACCCAACACTGCAGTTTCTGTCTGGGAATAAAAATTTTATAGCTGGGTGTGGTGGCTCATGTCACTTAGTAGTCCCTGGGCTGAGACAGGCAAGTTGCCAGCCAGCCTGGGCCACACAGTGAGACCCTCTCTCAAAACAACTGAAACAAAACTTCTATAAAGTGCATGGAGAGCTTGACTTCCTGAAGTCTTTGGCTCCCTGGAAGGCAAGAAATCCCTGACTGGTGGTTCACTGTGCAAAGTTTGAGTTTCTTCGGTGTCCTGGGTCCCATTATGGCTGAGGGTCCCAGCCAGTGGAGCCTGCTGGTCTACGGCGTAGGACTCTGAGTGTCCATGACTGCAGGGACTGTGTTCCATGTCTCTATGACAGTACTGAGGAAGGCATACTGTTAGCCTTCTCCCAGCATCTGATGTGTAAGATGAAGAACAAGCCGCTGAAATATAAGGGGTGACAATAGAAAATATGAGGTTCCCTGGGCTGGAGAGATGGCTCAGCAGTTAAGAACACTGACTGTTCTTGCAGAAGACCAGGTTAGAATCCCAGCACCCACATGGCAGCTAACAACTGTCTTTAACTCCAGTTCCAGGGGATCCGCCGCCCTCTTCTGTCCTCCATGGGCATTGCAAACACAAGTGCACTTACATACATGCAGGCACAACATTCATACACATAAAATAAAAATAATAAATAGGGGCTGGAGAGATGGCTCGGCGGATAAGAACACTGATTGTTCTGGCAGAAGACCCGGGTTCAAATCCCAGCACCTACATGGCAGCTAACAACTGTCTTTAACTCCAGTTCCAGGGGATCCGACAGCCTCTTCTGTCCTCCGAGGGCATTGCATGACATGGGCGTACTTACCTACACACAGGCAATACAGGAATACACATAAAATAAAAATAACAAATAAAATATTGCCGGGCATGGTGGTGCACGCCTTTAATCCTAGCCAGCACCTGGGAGGCAGAGGCAGGCAGATCTCTCTGAGTTCCAGGCCAGCCTGGTCTACATAGTGAGTTCCAGGCCAGCTGGGGGTACAGGGAGACCCTGTCTCAAAAAGACAAAGAAAAGAAAGGAAAAAAGGAAATATGAGGTCCCCAGCTCAGGGTTTGGCCTATGAAGTGAATGCCCAATGAGATGTCGCTGTCTTCCCTGGGCCTGTGGTGGTACCAGGCCCTTCCTCAGTGACCACTCGACCCCTCCAAATCCCAAGGCCCCTATGTGGCACAGACAGGTAGAGCCAGACTTCATAAAATCACAGATGCTGATTTATTTACCAAAGGTGCTGGCCCGGGGCTGGTTCCGGTAGCCAGACCAGCAGATGCCCCCAAGGGTCCCAGCTCAGTCTTCCAAGAGTGAGGCAGGGTTGCTGCCTCACTGTGGGGATGGGGCAGTGTTCCCTCCTGGGGGAACACCGACGGCTCCCAGCCAACGGCAGCCAGGATGAGTGGTGGGTACCAGCACCATCGTCTCAGGAAGGCACTTTCAGCTTCGGGGTTCCCAAGAAGAACTGTAGGATTCGGTCAGCCAGGAGTGCCAGGCAGAAGTCCAAGGCCAGAACCTGGCCGATGACCAGCTTGAACTGCCAGGGAGGAGACAGGTGAGTTGGTCCAGTGGTCTGGCCAGGCTGAGTCCTGGGATCACCATGCAAGTCCACTCACCTCCACAGGAATGTCCACAAGGCCAAACTGGCTGTTGAAGTCAGGTGAGGAGCCAAGGAGCAGGCCAATGATGGCCAGAAGGGACACTGCCAGACTCCACACCAGTGGCTTGTTCTCAGGGAGGCTCTCCATGAAGGGTGGGCCCTGTGGGGACAAGAAGGCTGTCTAGGGCAGGCTGAGTAGAGGGGTGGCCAAATATGGCATGGTCAGGTATACAAGGCCTCACCTTGTAGTTGATGGCGAAGGTGGCCATCTGCATAGCCATGGCCATGATGTACACGGTGCTGTTGACCAGGCTTGGTTCAAACTCTTTGTACAGGTCTACAAACTGCTCCTGCCTGTGGGGGACATATGGGTGTCAGCACCTTTTCTGCTTAAGCACTCTGTGGCTCCCTGCTGTCCTGATGCAGGAGCCAGTGCCTGGTGTGCTGCCCCTGCCCTCCTTCCCTCCTCCCACCTCCTGCTGGGGCCTCACTTACTTCTCAGGGCTCCGGGCCTGGGCTTCTTGGTACAGGTAGACAAGGCTCAGGAAGTGCACAGAGAACTGTAGCATCACTGTGAGGATGGTGTATAGGTTGAAGATGTTGGGCAGGGGCCGTTCTCGGGAGAGGGTCTTGAGGGGCTATGGAATAGGAGTTAGGGAAGGTCAGGGCCAGCTTGCTTACTCAGCAGGCAGTGAAGTAACGCTCCTCCCTACTCAGGGCTTATGGATCCCAATCCTGAGGTTGCAGAGGCTATACTGGTCTCCAACAGGAAGCAGACTTAACCTTTCTGCTCCCAAGGCACCAGGACAGATCCAAGCACACCCCCACACCCACCAGGGGAGGGTGCTTGGCCCAGTCCAGTGGCTTCTCACCTTCATGGGATCTTAAGTGTCCTGTAAAGACACGAACTGAAATTGTCCCCAGAGCAAGAGGTTGAGGTAGGCCTTTGGGAAGTGACTAGATTCTCTCATCCCTAGAGTGAGGTCTGACAAAGCTTAGGAGATGGGGCCAGCATAAAGGGAGTACAGCCTTGAGCACTTTCCCCCATCCCAAGCCTACCTCTTTTGGCCCCTCCACAGCCAGGGCTTCCTGGTTGCCATATGGGGAACAGCCCTGTTCCACCACAGGCCCAGAATATGGCCTGAAACTCTAAAATCCCCAGTCAAAATGAATCTTTCAGTTCAAGTTGTTCTGTGAGGGGTTTGTTCTGTGAGGGGTTGTCACTGACAGGAAGCTGACATATACCCCTTGGCCTGTGGGCACATCAGAGACCCTGTGCTGAGCTCCTGTCTGCCTCAGCTCCCTTTCTTCAGGAGGCCTCCTGGCTGTCCGTGAGGCCCTGAAGCCTGTGGCCCACTTTTTTTTCTCTCATGGCACTGCATGTCCTGTTTGCTCTGTCACTGTTTCACTGCCTGTGTGGCTAGGACCGGCCTGAACTCCCAGCTCACAGATGGTGGTGGACCCCAAGTTATGCCACTGGCAGCCGGCCTGGCCAGACCCAAGCATGTCTTATGCGGTCCTGAGGAGGCTCCCACCTCTGGGCCCTGGGTCCCTGTCTGTTCCAACCCAGGGGCTGTTGGGACTGCCTGTGACAGCTGGCCCATGACAGTTGAAGGCCCACCTTGGAGCGGGAAATGAAGAGGAAGCAGCCGGCCAGCAGCAGCCCCTGCAGGGTGGCCTGAAAGTCACTGAATTTGACACCTTCCAGGTAGAGGACGCTCTGGCTGTAGGCCAGGATTAGAGCGTTGAGGGCCAGGATCTTGAACATCTGTAGCGTGGTGACCAGTGTGCAGCGGCCCTGCTTGATCACGTGGCAGACTGTGGGGGGCAGGGCAGGAGTGAGTGGGGCACTGGGCAGGCAAACAAGTGGGTGAATGTAGGCATGTCTCTAGCATGAGGGGGCAGGGTCTGGGTGAGTGTGGCTCCAGACAGGGCAGGGCTGGGTGCCAGGACTCACTGCACTGGATGGAGGAGAGCTTGGAGGTGAAGGGTGCTGCAATGCTGGCATCCCCCAGTTTCACAATGGGGGTGCTCTCATCCTCGAGGTCCCGCAACACCTGGCTCAAGCGGTCCTGTGGGGTGGGCAGCAGAGATCAGCCCTGGCAAGCGGGGGTGTGGCCATCTCTGCTTTTGATACTCACCCTATGGGAGGCTGGTGGATCCTCAGCGGGCAGGAGTGCTGACTTCTGTTTGCTTGACCTTGAGGAGACTCTGGGACCACTGTTGCTCAGGACTGGGCTGTCCCTTGGCCGTCGTCGCCGCTCTACAACCCGCTCAGGGGCATTAGCTAGGAGTGCTACACCTGGGAAGGTATCGGGAGGGGGTGATGGGAGGCAGCCCCGGGCCCAGAAGCAGCTCCATAGTGTGCTGTTGCAGAGATGGACTCCAGTCTAAGAGCCACTGTTCCCTGATCTGTCCAGCAGTTCTTAGAACTCCCAATTTCACCTGACTGCCCTATGGCGCCCTTCAAGGCTGACCACCTTGCTTTCCACAAACTACTTAACACAATCCTGAGCTATTAAATGGCTCAGCAGGTAAAGTTGCTTGCAACACATGTCTGGTAACTTGTGTCTGAGCACTAAGAACACATGTGAAGGTGAAAGGAGAGAACCAACTCTACAAAGGTCCTCTGACCTTTACAGCTGTGTCATGCACATACATATACACGGTAATAATAAATTTGAAAAAAAAAGAAAGCGGATTAAAAAAAAAAAAAAAAAAAGAAAAATCCACAAGTCATATGGAAAAGACGCAGGACCAGATGGGTCAAAAACCATACAGGTGCAGGATGCAGTAGGCACATCTGTGAGTACAAGGCCAGCCTGGTCTACATAGTGAGTTCCAGGCCAGCTGGGGCTACAGGGAGACCCTGTCTCAAAAAGACCAAAAAATAAATAAATTAAAAAAAACCAAAAAACAAACAAACCAAAAAACTCCACTAGCATCCAAAGTAACTTATAATACTAAGGAGAATAATTCTTTAAACACACACACACACACACACACACACACACACACACCTAGTACTCACATGGCATCTAACAATTGTCCCTCAGTTCCAGGGGATTGGATACCCCCTTGACCTTTGTAGGCACTGCACGACATGGGTGCACTTTCACACATGCAGGCAATACATTCACATACATAAAAAAATAACTAATCCCCCCTGCCTAAAAAAACGAAAAGCTGGGCATGGTGGCACACCCCTTTAATCCCAGCACTCTGGAAGCAGAGGTAGGTGGATCTCTGTGAGTTCCAGGCCAGCCTGGCCTACTTATCAAGTTCCAGGCCAGCTGGAGCTACGGGGAGACCCTGTCTCAAAAAGACCAAAAAACAAAACAATCATTTAAAACAAACAAACACGCATACACACACACACACACACACCCCAATCAGGCATGGTGGCCCTCACCTTTAATCCCAGCACTCATGAGGCAGAAGCAGATATCTGTGAGTTCAAGGCCAGCCTGGTCTACAAAGCAAATTCCAGGCCAGCCGGGGCTTCACAGTGAGATCCTGTCTCAAAAAATTAGATAAATAAATATATAATGTCACCATCCCCCTCATTAGGGGATTTAAGGCAAGAGCTCTACCATTGAGCCATGCCCTTAGTCTGTCACTGGGAGGAATTCTAGGCAAGAGATCTCATGCCCCAGGCACCATCATAAGAATCAATGCCACTTTGCAGAGGACCCGGGCTCGATTCCTAGCACCCACATGGCAGCTACAAACCATTCTTAACTCTAGTTCCAGGGGAATCTGATGCCCTCTTCTGACCTCCATGGCACTGCACAACATGGGTGCGCTCACATACATGCAGGAAATACACTCGTACACATTTAAAAAAAAGAAAAAGGAATCAATTCCCCTGACTGCTCCTGAGCAACAGGACCAAATATGCCTTTCTTGTAGTGAGCTGTCCCTATACCAGGGGGCACAGCTCCCAGCTGTTAAAGCTCACCCACATCGGCGTGCTTCAGTGCACCCACATCGTTGGTGCCATCTCCACACATGAGGGTCACATAGCCCAGCTCCTTCAGGCTGGTGATGACAAACTCCTGCATGGATGAGACAGGATGAGTGAGGCTGCTGCCACCAGTAAGGGCCCCAGTGCCCAACCCCAGGGTCTTGCACACACCTTTTGCTTGGGTGCCACGCGGGCGAACACCTGTACATGAGGGATGAGGCGGAGCAGCTGCTGGGGATCTGCAGTCTGCAGGTGGGCCAAGCCATCACCCGTGAGGCACAGTGCATGCTCCAGGGCCAGATGCTTGGGGGAATCTGGGGCCAGTGGCAGCACAATGCTGCCATCAATGGAGCGCCACTCGCATAGCTGGCCTGTAGGTCACATCCAGGGTCAGGGCTGGGGGCTCCTGGGCTGATACCATAGCCTCACCCAGAGCCTAGGTCTGCTCTGGGCATTCCACAGGGAATATCTGCAGAACCCTCAGGTATAGGTAGGGAAACTGAGAACTTGGAGCCCAAGCTGCGTGCTATGATGGGGCTAGATGCAAGCACAGGTGGCCTGGTTACCAAAGTTAAGCCACCCTCACCCCATGGAAGGTGCCTGACACTTGTCCCTTCATCTAAAAATCTTACCCCCACTGCCAACCTGAACTCCTGCCCTCCTAGGTTCAGGCTTCCTCTTATGCTAAGCCCCAAGACACCAGCTTTTACTTCTTCAGTGACCCAGGACCAAACTGGTGGAGGGTGGCCCATCAGCATACCCCATACTGACCTCCCACCTTAGACTGTCTCAGATGGGAGTGTAGTCATCCTGCTTGGCCTTCCCATCAAGCAACAGTTCTGATTGTCCCCTTGGGGCCACTTGTCTACAACCCTTAGGTCCAAGAAGAGCCTAGCACACAGGGCTGGATTGGAAGGAGACCTGGAACCCGCAGCAGAGGGTAGAATCAATCCTCTGAAAGGCAGCACAGAAGCTGACCTGGCTGGGTATATCCAGTACCTTCCACTCTGCAGCTCTGCACTGAGTGATATCAAGTGACCTGAGCAAGAAGTGGGCTCACTTAATTTTGCAAGGAGGGTTCTGTGAGCAGGTCTCAGAGTGTACATATAAGCTGGCCACTGTGGAGCTCAGGCTAGCCTGAACTCACAGGGATCCTCCTGCCTCAGTCTCCCAAGTGCTGGGCTGACAAGCCTGGCTGAGTAGGCTTACTTCCGAGCCCCAGCCTCCTTGTTTACAAAGCAGGGCTCTAACAGCAGGCTCAGTAGTTGGCTTCCTCCTCCACAGTGGGCAGGATAAACTGCCTATAGTGCAGGATGGGGCAGAGGGTCAGATGTGGTAACACATGCCATGCCCAATGCTGTGCAGGCAGTGCTCTCAATAGGTGTTGGGGGCCCAGCAGTTCCTGGGCTTGGGACAGAGATGGCACAGGAGTAACTGCAGGGCCTAAGGTAGCTGAGGATAAGGCAGGAGTGCCTCAGCCTTGAAGTGCACAGGAGGCCCATTGTTAACAAACACAACAGACTTGTGAACCAATGGCTGCCCGAATACCACACTGCCCACACAGTGATCCTGGAATAGGGCCTCCTCCCGACCCCTCCATCCCAGGCATCACACCTCACCTTTCTCCAAGGGAGGATGCAGGATGAGTGTGTGGGCCTTGTCAATGAAGTGCAGCTCCTGGGCCACATGGCAGGCGGTGAGCGGGTTGTCCCCTGTGATCATGACCACCTAAAGGACAGTGGCCAGGGCTTACCAGGGTGGGCTTTGTGGGCAGATTCCTACCTAGTCTCACACCTCCCTCTAAGGCCTCTACTGGAGACCTTAGTCTACCCACCATGTCCGCCCACATTTTACTTTTTTGAGACAGAATCTCATATCTTGTGCTCACTATGTAGCCAAGGCTGGCCTCGAACTCCTGATCCTCCTGCCTCCCACTTCCCAAGTGTTAGGGTGACAGGAATATCATCATATCCAGCTTATTGCTTTTACTTATGACATAAAGAATCAGTCCTCCTGTCAGGTGTGGTGATGCACACCTTTAATCCCAGCACTTGGGAGGCAGAAGCAGGTGGATCTCTGTGAGTTAAGAGGCCATCCTGCTCTACATTCTACATTCTACATATCGAGTTCCAGGCCAGCTGGAGCTACAGGGAGACCCTTTCGCAAAAAGACTTAAAAAAAAAACAAAAAACCCAAAAGAAACAAAAAAGAAGAATTGGCCCCTGCTGTCAGCTCTCTGGGCTGGTACCAGCCAGTACAGGAACAGTCCAGTGACCAGAAGAGGGAGTAGGCCATGATCTCTGAGGGTCTCATGGGAATTAGTGTCATCTGCCTGCCCTAGAGTCACCTCTCTCTGAAACTGCTCACCAGGACAAGTCTGGCCCTCCACATCCGTCAGCCCTGGCCTCTGCCTCCTCTTTTTCACAGCCACAGAAGGTCTAAGGAGGTTACATTGTCACATGAGGGGTCGTGTCACAGAGCATCCTCTGCCCAGCTCTGAGTGTGCCAGCTACACCTGCACCTGGCTTAAAATCTGCAGTCTCCTTCCTGCTGAGACCTGAGGCTGGCTGAAACTTGCTGCCACATCCCCACCTCTGCTCCAAATTCTCAATTTGCCCATACCCGGTGCGATGCGTTCTGGATCTCTCGGATCACAGCCTTGGAATCGGCCTTGAGTGGACAGGAGACCACGATGAAGCCCACAAACTTGAGGCTGCACTCCAGGGCCTCCCGCTTGACCTCTCTGGCCTGTGAACAAACACAAAGTGCCTTCACTATCTGTTCCTCCCACCAGGGACAGGAAGGTATGTGTGCCTCAGGAACTAGAGCCACCCTGTGGATGATAAGCACATGTGATGGTGCTGCGGGGAAGGGAGGGCCTGTCTCCCAAGAAGAATGTGTCATGGTCAGGAGGGGAAGTAGGACACATGCTAGGTAAGATGAGGGATGAGATCAGGCACTGATGCTGGGGTCTAGACCCAAGTGTGTCTAAAACCTTGTAGCTATGGACACAGAACACTCTGGCTCAGTTCCTGGGTCACTGAGGTTAGGGGAGCCCACAAGGTTCAGGGGAGGCAGGTGAAAGAATCACAGAAGCCATAGCAACATGAGTAAAGTGGGTTACAGGGTGGACAGGATTGGGGGGGTGCACAGCCTCAGGGGAAGCAGGGATCTTCTGCCCAGGTGTGAGGTAGGCACAGTGCAGGAGGACCAGAGTACAGAGGCTAGGACCAGAGGTTTGCAGCAGGCTTTGCAGTCCAGGCTGTCAGGGTGTGAGCAGATTGAATGAGGGCTAAGAAGGAAGGTCAAAGGGCTGAGATGTGGGAGGTAGGGGAAGATTGAAGAGGGATGGGTCATGGTGATGGATGGAGGGATACGGGGGGAGCCATGGATTCAATAAGACCTAAGGCCTTTTGGCCACTAGGTACCAGGGTAGAAGCTAGGATGGTGAACTCTAAGATACTTCCTGGCCTTCCCTGAGGGGTGCCCAGGACATGCCAGAGCAGAGGCAGGAAGTGGAGCCTGGGAACTGAGTACCACCTGGGGTCCCCAAAGATGGCAGTTGGGTGGTGACATGAAACTGAACTCACTTCCACTGGTGCAGTGGGGTGGTAAGGGGCAATGGAGGTCCTTACCTGCTGGTGTGTGAGGTGCCCCAGTTCCTTGTACCCCAGGGCCAGTACGCGAGCTCCTTCTCGAGAGATCTCAGTGTGAATGTGATGGTAATCAGGTGGGCACTGGGAAAACTGCAGGGAACACAGGGGAAATCACCACTTGCTCCCCACCTGTCCCCTACCCCTGGGCTGGGGCTGGCTCACCATGGAGTGCAGGGTTTCAGGGGCCCCCTTCACGGCTGCGATGTAGCAGAGGTCGGTGGAGCCAAGCTTCTCATAGGAGGCGAGCACGGACATTCGCTTTAGGGCACTGGCAAAATGAAAGCGCTGGTGAATTTTCAGCCCCTGAGTTTTAATACTTCGGGGGAATACTTTCTCATCTGGAAACAAATAAGTACGAGTCCTGAGGGGCTTCGCTCCAGAGAGGCAGCCAAGCCCCTGCCTTTGCCCCAGCCTCCCTGTCCCACTGCCCCCCAGGGCACTGCCACGCCATAGTAGGTACTGAGGACCACAATACTGCAGCCTCTGCCAAGGTAAGCTGGACACCGACCTAAGGGGACACTGGGTCTGAGGTGGGCCTGTGTGCACTAGCCTGCAGGAATGTCACTATCATGGGCCCACCTGCTAAGGGCAGAGAGGCTACCCTCTCCAGGCCTGAGGTGCCAGCCCCTCACCTTTGGTTAGTGTCCAGTCCACAGCTGTCAGCATGGCCTTCTCCAAAGGGTCACCCACCAGGGTGCCATCATCCAGCTGCATGAGTGAGTGGCAGGAGGCTAAAGCCCGGTGTGTTTCTATGGGGATGTTGGATACGGGGGTCACCTCCTTCCCATCTCTGCAGGGATGGAGATGGCTGGTTATATGGTAGACAAAGTTGGAGCTGCATCTTTACAAGAGAAGGGACCTGGGAACCTTTAGTGAGTGCTACCAGGGACCATCCCTCAGTACTCAATGTATGTTATTGTCTCATGAGACCCATATCAGCCTCTAGGAGAGCCACCCCCCCTTCCCTGACGGATCACACATGGTACATGGGCCCACATAGCAGGTGGACTACAGGCCTTGGCTGGCTACTCTGGGCCTGAATTGATCTCCATATTCCCACCGCTACTCATGCTGAAGACCATGTGGAACCTGAAGACCATGTGGAACCTCTGGAATCAAACCTTGGAGGTAGGGCTTCACATGGATGCTTGGGTTGAGTTTGGGTCTGTTTGCTGGGCCTAAGGCCCAAGGTCTTTGATGCTCACCTCAGCCCTGCCACACCACGCACCACCAGACTGTCACTGGTTAAAGTCCCCGTCTTGTCAAAGCAGCACACCTCGACTTTGCCGGCAAAGGGGATCCGGAAGGGCTCTGTGCAATACATGTCTGGGGGTATGGAGCTAAGGTCAGGGGGGTTCTCTCTAGGTTCTCGTCTGTTCCATGCCAGGCCCCACCAATTACTCAGTACTCACAGAGCTTTGCCAGGGCGATGAGGGAGGTATTGACAGCCAGAGACAGCTCAATGGGTAGCTCAGGGGGCACCACCGAGGTGAGGATGAGAGTACACTCCAGAAAGAGCTTGTATCGGTTCCGGCTGGGGTCCTTGGTCCCTGTGGAGACAAGGCCTGCCAACCTGGGGTGGGGGTGGGGCGGAGGAGCAGGAGCAGTCTCAGCGCTTACCTTCAATCCACACATAGGCAGCCGCTGCGATGGCAAATATCAGAAGGAAGAGGATGAAGATGAAGGTCTCCAGGTTGTTTGCGGTCACCCTCTTCACCCCAAAGAGAATGGTGCGCAGCAGCTTGCCCTGCAGGGACAGAGGGACACAGGTCTTTCCTGGGAGGGAGGTGTGTGGAAGACAGTGGTCTCCCCTCCCTAAAAGCACTGAGATGGGTTCTTTCTAGAAATCCCAGTAATGCCTGCTTGAGACCATGAACCAGCTTTGGGGATGGATGGGTGCAACTTAACCAAGAGTTAAGAAGGCCAGGCACAGAGAAGGCAAGGAAGATGGAGGAAATAAGGCTTCCTGTCACCCTACTAGGTAGAGTCCTGTGGCATTTACTAGAGCACCTCAGTTCTGGGGTGATTACAGCCAATCTACCTTGGGCATGTGTCTACTGGTGCCTCAGGCCTGTGCTGAATGTTGTTGGAAAGCACTGGGATGAATGAAAGTAGCCACCTTGCCAACCCTCCCCACACTGTCGAGGGCTTACCTGGGATGTGTTAAATCCAGTCCGAAGGACATAGGCCACACATCCATTGTCAACCGCTAAGGAGACAAACAGAATGGTGTCATTAGCAAGCCACTGTCCTGCTTTCTTCGTGCTACAGCAGGCATGCAATACCCCAGACACCCTTGAGGCACCTACGCTTCAGGCCTGTGGTGGCCTTCTGTGGGGGGATGTGCTGCACCACCTTGGTGCCCCCAAAGATGACATGCAGCCGAGCATCGGCTTGTAGGTCCAGGACTCGGTCTGGGCTCAGATCCTCAATGGGCTCCTGAAAGAGGAGACATCGGATATGGATGACAGCCCCACCTGGGCCACCCTGCTGTCTTTGTCTCTGGAATGCTAGACCCTAGGGGCTCCCTGTGTGGCCCAGAAAATCCCACCCACCCCTTGGCAGGTGCTTCCTCATCAAGGGACTTGCAGAGTTGCCACCCCCATGGCACACCTCCTCCTGGTTTCTCTCTGCCCATCCCAGCTGGATGTACCCTACATGCATATCCTGGGTTCTCTCTACCTGGTTTCCCCACATCTATGATGCTAACTCAAGGCTACCTGCCTCCTCCACCTTTGTCTGGCAGGACCTGCCTGGCCACTGGCTCCACATATTCCTTCATGAATTGTGAATTGACATACTTCAGTGGTCTCAAGACCCCACCCCATCACCTTCATCTGTGGCACTGACTCCCCGGTGAGCATGGCCTCATCCACAATGCACCGGCCCCGCAGCAACAGCACATCGCACGGCACCAGGTTATCCTGGGGGGAACGGCCTGTGGGGTGCAAGCAGGAGGATTGGCCACAGGGTGATGTGGTGGCTCCCATGTGAAGGCTATAAGAGAATCTTGCCTCACCAATGGACACAATGTCCCCAGGAACAATCTCATCACTGGCAATGGGCCTCCACTTGCGGCTACGGTAGACCTGGGGGTGCAGGTGGGGAATGTGAGTCAGCACAGAACATGGGAGGTCCCCCATCCCCACCAGGACTACTGTGTGTACCTGGATCATGTGGGGCTTGTTGCCCATCTTGCGGATCTCAGACATGTTCCGCATCTGCTGCTGTACCAGTGAAGCCTCAAAAGCCACCAGCATGGACAGGGTAAAGACACTGTAGTACCAGTACTCATCCAGGCACCAGAGCCCCACACAGAACACCTGTGGAACAACAGCCTATCATGCCTTGTCCACTTATCCTGTGCTCAGGAGCCCAAGCAGACACCAGAGGGATATAGGACCTGACCCACATGGACAGAGAGGAGCTCTGAGGTTTAGAGGTGCCAGCCAGACTTGCTCTGGCTATAAAAGCTCCATGGAGAAATGGTGCAATGGCCAGAGTCAGAGTCACTGTGTTACCTGAAACACGAAGAAGGGGGCCGTGGCTCTCTCCTTGAAAAGCTCAGAGAAGTCAGGTACCACCATCTCAGCTCTGTAAGAGACCACACCCCCATGTCATATTCCTGCATGAGGCTGAAGGAATGGAGATCCTGCCCTTGGCACTTCTACCTGGGGGTACTACAGACTCCTTGAAGACACAGGGGACCCAAACTGGGAGGCTGGTGGTCAGGCACAGGCCAGCTGACAATGTATAGCCCCTACTCTGCAGAGCCTTCCCATGGCTGCCTGCCCAAGATAAGAAGCCTGTAATTTGGTTGGTGATGCAGCAACAGGACAAAAGCATCTGGTGAAGAAGGGGTGCCCTGGTGACTGTTACTAGTTAGATTCCCCAAAAGGAGGGGATACTAAGGCAGAGCACAACCCTCACTGGAACCAAGATTTTTTTTTTTTTAACCTAAAGAGGTGTAGTCCAGGCCTCTTAAACTCCCTACATAGCCAAGGACAACCCTGAACTCCTGCCTCCACTTTCTGAGTGCTGGGATTACAGGTGTGCACCATCAAACAGGTTCATGTTATGCTGGGGATCGAACCTAGGGCCTTGTGCATGCTAGGTGAGCACTAGTCCCCAGCCCAGGAATTGTGATTTTCTTTTTTTTTTCCCCTCTCTTTTTTAAAAAGAAATATTTATTTTTATTTTATGTGTATGAGTGTATTGCCTGCATGTATGTGAGTGCACCTGTGTCGTGCAATGCCGCGGAGGTCATAAGAGGGCTTCGGATTCCCCTGGAACTGGAGTTAAGGATGGTTCGTAGCCACCATGTGGGTGGGTCCTCTGCAAGAGCAGTCAGTGCTCTTAACTGCTGAGCCATCTCTCCAGCCCCTTTTCTCTCTCTTTTTGAAACGAGGTTTTACCATATAGCCTGGTCTAGCTTAGAACTCACTATGTAGACTAGATTGGCTTCAAACTCACAGAGCTCTCCCAAGTGCTGGGACTACAGGCATGCACCACTATACCCGGCTTTTTTTTTTTTTTTTTAAAGACACTTTCACTATATAGCCCTGGTTGACCTAGAACTTGCTATGTGGACCATACTGGATTAGATGTGCAGAGATCCACCTGCTTCTATCTCCTGATTGCTAGGATTCAAGAAGCATGCTGCCGCACCTGGCTGTTTTTTTGTTTTAACTTTTTTTTTTCTTTTGTGTGCATGGAGGCTAGAGGCATGCATGTGCCATGGTGTGTGTGGTAGGGGATCAGAGGACAACCTGCAGGAATTGTTTCTCTCTTTCCTTCTACCCGTGGATCCTGGGGATAGAACTCAAGTTGGTCATCAGGCTTGGCTACAAGGGCCTTTACCTGCTAAGCCATCTTGCCTGCCCTGGGATTTTCTTATGGTTTTCTGAATAAGCCCAAGCAGTCAAGTAGCTTGTCCCCAGAATGTCGCCTGCAGCATGTGGTCACCCAATCTGACTCAGCAAAGGTATTTGTTCTGCTCTTGAAATGCAAGGGCTTTCTCAGACCTCCTCAGGCATGGTGGGATTTGAGAAAAGGAAACCACAGAAGGATCCCAAGAAGGTAAAAAGTTAAACAAACAAACCACAGTAACAGCAAGTCTGTCTAGAACATTACTGTGGCCAACACAGGGTCAGAGAGTGGTGAACAGTCCTAATTTGACATGAAATGGATCCTGTGATAAATAGCCACATTTCCTGAAAAGCAACTGAGTCAGGAAAGAACTTCCAGGGCAGCTGGCTCAGCAGCAAGGTTCAAGTCTAGCATGTGTGAGCACCACTGGCGGTTCTGATGCTAAATAATTGGGTGTGATGCCCAGCTTTGGGCTGCCTCCCCCCACCAGTTGCACATCACCATCTGCAGTTTTAGTGAAGATTAAAGGAGAAAGTGTCTGTCATCCTACCCAAGTGTAAAAGAAGAGGCATCAATGCGTTCCTTTTGTTTTGTTTTTTCTTTTTGCAATGCTGGCAATAGAATCTACTCGAGCCTGTTAGGGAAGCACCCAATCACCAAGTTGCCCTCCAACCCTACTGACAGCTCCTCATCATCATTTCTCATATGCAGAGATGTGTATGAGCATTAATGGCAGAACAGAAGTTTCAAGAGGGAATCTAAAACCAAGACACAGGAGGTTGGAAAGATTGCTCAAGTCAGTAAATGCTTGCCTGGTAAGCATGAGGGCCTGAGTACAATCCCCAGACACCGTGAAAAAGAGTCAGGTGGGGTGGCATGTACTTGTGAACACAGCGCTGGGACAGCAGAGGAGGAGCCTGGGGTCACTAGCAAGCCTAGCCTGTCTCAGTGAGCTCCTATTCAGTGAGACCCTGTTGTTTTGTTTTTTTGTTTTTTGCCTTTTTGAAGCAGGGTCTCCCTGTAGCCCCAGCTGTCCTGGAACTCACTACGTAGACCAGGCTTGCCTTGAACTCACAGAGATCCATCTGCCTCTGCCTCCCAAGTGCTAGGACTACAGGCGTGTGCCACCATGCCTGGCAAGAGACCCTGTTTTAAAAACCAAGGGAATGACACCTGGGGTTGATCTCTGGCCTCCATATATGTGTATGTGTACACACACACACACACACACACACACACACACACACAGAAACAACCACAAAACAAATGTTGAATGGTCACTGAGGACAGGACAAGCTACCCACACAGGGTCTCTATCAGAGCACAGGATCCGAGGTTGCAGGCCTCTAAGGACCCTGTCAACCGACAAGTTGGTGGAAACTAGAGTAGAGCAGGTTTCTCAATTGGTGTCATAGTCATCTGGTATTTTGGGCTAAAAAGAGGGGCCCTCTGTCCCACTGCTAGGCCAGGAGCAGAGCAAGACAACAACAAAGGGACCACAGAGAAGGCAGGGACTCACTTGTTGCTCCCAAACTTCTTCTCTGCAGCTCGGATCTCCGAGTCTTCCTGGAACCCTCTGTTGCTCTGATAGAAGGAGAAGGCATTCCCCACAGGGAAGGCCACTGGGATGAACTGCTTTTTCTCCAGAGCATCATAGGAATATTTGATCTTCTGGAATTCGAAGGACAGCACCTCTGGTCCATCTTCACCCTGGGGTGGGAGGTGTGTTTATTATAGCAGAAGCCCCCTGACCTGGAGGAATATTAGTGCTCAGGAATCCCATACAAGCCCCAGTTCTGGGTACCCAGAAGGCCATCCCTACCTACCTTGTCCCGATGCAGGGCCACTAGCTCAGTGGAGCCATTGTTGGGGGTTGGCACCACCTTCACGAAGGTTGCTCTGCCAGGGTCATACTCCTATCAGAAGCAAAGGATTGTTACTGAGCCCTTCTCAACCCACAGATCCAGTCCTCACAGAGGCAAATCAGTGTGGACACAGCAGTTCCACAGGGTGATCCCAACATGTTACTAGGCTCCAGTGCTAGCTTACTCCCTACTGGGCCACTGGTCTCTAACCACAAAGCTGGCGTCAGAGGGAGCATTTGCCATTCAAGATTCTGGACATGAACTCAAATGAGAAGGACCAAACTTAACGTCTAGCTTGCCTTCCATTCATGTGAGCCAAGTCCTGCCACTCTGGTTCACTGTTAGGGATGTTAGCTCACATTCAGATGTGTCCTAGCCAAGGGTCTTCGTATCCGGTGTATACAACCTGCAGCCTAAGGGCATATCGCAGCCAAAGACAGCTATGAATGTGGCCCAAGACAAAAATCATAAACTTAAAACACTGAGATGGCCGGGCATGGTGGCACACGCCTTTAATCCCAGCAGTCAGGAGGCAGAGGCAGGTGGATCTCTGTGAGTTCAAGGCCAGCTTGGTCTACATAGTGAGTTCTAGG